TAGGATTTCCTTTGCAGATTTTTGTTTGCATACTTTGAAGATTAATGGCAAATACAACAATGGAAAACTATGTATGTGACTTTTTTGAAAACAAAGCAAAACACAGATCTTCTTTATCTTAAAAATGACCTAATATGCTTTCACAGAAATTATTCCGTTCTCCAAAGTCCCAAAAAAATACCGAAACCTTCCAGGGAAGAAACCATGATATTATATTCCGATATTTTAGGAGGCATCGGTGGGATCCAGACATAATTCCGCGTGCTTTATTTTCTTACTTTTTTTTGTTGTTGTTAACTGTCATTCTTTATCATTGGCTTTGCCTGAAAGCAAATGCCCTTTCCCGGCGCCTTTGAAAGCCACAGCGGATGCCACAGGTGCTGTCCTGCGGTACTGACATATGCCGGGCGGCTGCGGACACCGCGTGTTAAATTTCAAGTTGAGGGTCAGTCCCGAGACGGACACTTAGGTTTGAATAAACTGGGACAAAACCGGCCCTGTCATAACCAACCAGCAAGTCATTGTCTTCATAAATGCCAGCTCCACCTCTAAATCGTTTCTTTTTTTAACCATTTCCTTTAAACTGTCTATGATCTTTGCTGGGTTTTTTTTTGTTTTTTGTTTTTTGTCCTTGTTTAACGTCACCCATAGTACATAATCCGCAGCTTTCAAAGCAACGTTAGGGCTGTAAAATTTCAATGTTTGTGGGTTTTCCCCCCACATCCAAGCAATTCTCGCGACACCAGCCGGGTGTCCTGCAATTCAGCTCAGTTCTGACCCATTTTCCCCGGAGACAGCGCCAGGTACCACCGGTGAAGGGCGCAGTCCTGCGAGGCTGTCCCCGCCCCGCTTCAGGTGCCACTGGCCAGGCCAGGTTGTCCCTGTGCCGAGGGGCTGGCTGCAGGGAGGAGGCTCCCATGACCCCCGCCGTGGGTTCTGACTGTTTGCCACAGCGGCTCCCAGGATGGAGGGAGACGCTTGCCTTCGCGCATCGCCAGTTCATTATTACAACGGAACGGAGGAGACCCGCAGGGCAAGGCGTGGGGAGAGGCCTGGGGCCCCGGCGCCCCTGCAAGTGCGTCACTGAGTCCCCGCGTGCTCACCACGTGGACGCTTTCCAAGCTCTGTCCTTGGGGGGAGTGGGGGCGTCGTTTCATGGGCGGGATGGATGAAATCGTGGGCCGTCGGGGATCAGCTTACCCTCTCGCCTCCCTCCCCCCGCCCCGGGGTCAGTGGCGGGGTGGGGCGCGGTGGGGCGGGGTGGGGGGCCGGAAGCTCCCTGCGGTTGGTGCTCCTCACTGCCGGCCCCAGACACTCAGGTGTGGTTGAGGCGGGTTTGTCCCGAAGATCAAGGCGCCTTTACCGCTCTCCTCATGTAGCAAATGCCAGGGTTTTAGGAGCTCTATGCCGGGAACGGCCTGAAGACCCCATTTCTATTTCTTACTACAAATCACGTGATCCCGGGCTGCTTTGCTCAAATACACCTTGGTTCAGCTAAGGTAATTTTCGTTGTGTTGTTGCAGTATAAATGACACTCCAACATGTTGGAGTGGCTCCGTGGGTGTGAAAAGAGGCGTGTAATTTTACATGTTATGTTTATCAGTTTTAAGTTTTTATAAGTAATTGTAAGTTTTACTTGGTTATTTTTCAGTGACCCTTAATGTACATACTTCATGTTAGGCCTTGAACGCAATCTATTCATGATTTTCTGTTCAAGACTCTAACATGCTTCTTAACTCTCTGCCCCAATAAGGAGATTAAATACTGGAAATCCAGAGTTCCTTGACCAAATCAAGACTGTGTGCTTCCCATTCACAATAATTACGATTTGTTACTTTACAATTATCAGTGATACTATTACATTTTTAAAAGCTGTTTTTTTTTTTTTATTTTTACAAAATCATAATTTACCTGAGAGTTAACACAGAGGCTGGATCTCTGGTGGTGCAGAGAAGTTCAGAATTACGATTAAAATAAAAGTAGCTAAAATGTGAGGCCAAACCTAAACATTAATAGGTTTAATGTAAATATATTTGCACAATTAAACAGCAGCTTATCAGCATAAGGAAGCCCATCCCGACGTTTCCTGCCTTCCCAAATGACGTATCGGATCTTAAAGGGCAGCACTGCGCGGCGTGCGCTGTTGGGTTTGGTGGTGGCTCCTTCCTCTCTTTACCTGCCCCTTCCCTCTGAGCACAATGTCCTTGCTGCTTCGCGTCTCACGCCAAGAATTCTCTGAGATTCCAATCCAGTCTTAAGTCCTCTGAACCAGGCAGAGGAGCCTCCAGGTCACAGCACAGGCGAAATATTATTCAGGCTTCTCCTCCTCATCGTTCCTTGAAACCAGCATTTCTTTCTCCGAGCTGTCGTGCTTTGAAGAGTTTTGAGTGTGGTCTACCTAAGAAGATGTAAAAAAAAAAAAAAAAAAAAAGTATTTATTTTCTCTCTCGACAATTCCATTTGAGTTCTTTAAAAATTCTTCCCTTTTCCAATGGTTTTCTTCTCTAAAGTTAAAAAGGTTTCTTTGTCGAGGTGTGACCGCCTCCACGCTTTTGTTTTAATTATTAGCTTCGTAGTGATGCATGCATGTAAGAGATAATGACACCGTAGGGTGCCTCTGAACAGCACAGGGTTCTGACAGCGCAGTGTCACCAGCTAAAGACGGGCTGCGTGTCTTGCCGTGGGGGGCCTGGGCCGCCCTCCCAACCCGAGGGAGCCAAAGCGACGTCTGCTGGTAACAGCGTAGCTGGAAACGGTGAACACCTTGCAGGGGCGTCCAACCCGCGGCCCAGGACAGCTGTGAACGCGGCCCAACACAAAATGGTCAGTTTACTTAAAGCACGATGAGATTTTTCTTTGTGGTGACGCGTCGCAATGTATTGAATGTGTGGCTCGAAACGCCACAAGGTTGGACCCTGCCCCCCAAACCTGCCTACCAATTTCTAGTCGTTTCATTTTTAAGTTTTCCTTCCAGGCCTACGGCAGCCGCCGACGGTTTTCATTGGTGTAGCCATTTTGCGTTGGAGAGCACTTTGTCCTTTAGGGCCTAATGTGATCGTCCCCCAAACCCGGTGAGGGGATCGTGGCCACGGTGGGGGCGGGCCCTCACTGACTGAGGAATGAACGAGCCCGAAGATGGGGGTGGGGGAGGGGCGCGCACACAGCCGCGTGGGCGTGAAGGCCGGGAGCCCAGACTCCCTGCCCTCCCTGTCCTCCGTCCCATGCACCCGGTCTTCCCACAGAGCCTTCCGAAGCACGTGGTCCGGCAGCCCCGTGGACGTGCTGTCTGTGTGAATCCCGAGAACAGCGGGGTGGGGACCGGCCGTGACCTGCTGGGTCAACTGAAGGGGCGTCGCCAACGTCGCACTATTGTGCCACCTCTGGGGAGGTCTCCTCTACAGACACAGGAGTGTATTTTAAAACCCGTAGCCAAGTGCGTGCCAGCTCGCCTGCGCCTCTTCCGTTTTGGACGCCCTGGTGCGGTTATTTTTACGTGCATGCTTGTCCTGGGGTCTTGGATCCTCGCACTGTTTGTTTTCAACTAGGACGAGGATTTAGGTAAAAGGGAGTGGGCCGCGTGGGGCGTGGCGTCCCGCACGCCCCACCTGCCGCGGGGAAGGCTCTGTCACGCTTTCAACTATTCCCGGTTACAAAGGCTTATTAACGCGGAAAAAGAAGCCATGATAAACCCTTCAACTTCAAAATGCTTTGACTAACTTTATGAAATATGTATATATAAGATCAGTCATTTTATAATTTGTCTTCACTTGGCACGTGCATTACTTTTTTTGTGTGTGACCCACATCTGCTTAATCTGAGTATTCTCATTGAGTGATTCCCTATTAAGAAGCCATTTTTAATAAAAGTTTTATCTATGTATTTTCTTTTTGGCTTTACTGGGGTAAAACTGGCAAGTAAAACTGTAAGATATTTGAAGTGCACCTTGTGATGATTTGTTATGTGTATACGTTGTGAAAGGGTTATGCCTATTTAATTAATTAACATACTCACCGTCTCACATGTGTTGTCTTTTTTGCGAGGACATTGAGGTCCTCCTCTCAGAAAGCACTTTCTTCTTGATGCTCTAGAGTGTTATCAGCTGTCGTCCCTGTGTTTTACAGTTCTTACTCGTCTTATGTAATCGTGTTTGTTTTAGAGTCAGTTGATGAAGCTACGCTGTGTAAGTTGATGAGTCTCAAAATCTTCCGTAGTGTGAATGGGTGTCCGGTGTGCGTGGTTCACCAGGCCCCACGTAGATGTCAGAAGAGGCAGCGTGGTTGCTTGGCTTGCTTGGCTTGCTTGGCTTGCTGTTGGAATTCTCGATTTTACAAAACGTTAGCGAACGCGTCTGTCAAATTTACAAATTACATTAACTATTTTAAGATGCGTTTTTCTGACCCCCTTTTAGTTTTCACATTATTTCAGCTAGTAAATAGAGATGTACCTCTGATTTTGACATTGTCTGCAAATACCAGTATTTCTAAGTTTCGGAGAATTCAGGTCTATGCTTTTCTGAGGTCACTGAATGACAATATTGTTCTCGCCTCCCCGAAGGTGAAGGAGGGAGGGATGATGATATTTTTTCCTCCCAGGATACCAATCTGTGGCTGACTGAGTCCTATTAGAAGTCAAAAAGTCAACCTGGCTGGTGTGGCTCAGTGGACTGAGTGCTGGCTTGGGAACCAAAGGGTGGCCGGTTCGATTCCCAGTTAGGGCAGTGGCTTGGGTTGCAGGCCAGGTCCCCAGTAGGAGGCGTGCAAGAGGCAACCACAAACTGATGTTTCTCTCCCTTTTTCTCCTTCCCTTCCCATCTCTCTAAAAATAAAATCTTTTTTAAAAAGTCAAAAATCTTTCTATTTCACTCATGATTAATGATGTTTCCTGGTTTCAAAAGTCACCCCTCACTCTGGCGTCTAAGCGGGAAAGAAAAAAAAAAAAAGACTAGGGAAAAAGGAGTGAATTTGCCTTCGAGTAAACGGAAACCTGTCTCCCTTCTGCAGGAGAGAGCTACGTGTGCGGCTCCATCGAGCCCTTCAAGAAGCTGGAGTACACCAAGAACGTCAACCCCAACTGGTCGGTGAACGTCAAGACCACCTCCGCGTCGCGGCCCGTGCCGTCGCTGGCCACGGCCAAGGGCGGCCCTTCGGAGGTGCGGGAGAACAAGGATTTCATCCGGCCCAAGCTGGTCACCATCATCCGGAGCGGGGTGAAGCCGCGGAAGGCGGTCCGGATCCTGCTGAACAAGAAGACCGCGCACTCCTTCGAGCAGGTGCTCACTGACATCACCGACGCCATCAAGCTGGACTCGGGGGTGGTGAAGCGCCTGTACACCCTGGACGGGAAGCAGGTGAGAGGGGAGGGGGCGCGGGGCTGCGCGGCCTCGGCGGCAGGAACCGGGGCGGGGGCGCGTCTCCGGGGCCTGTGGCGGCGGGCGAGCTGGGCCGTGTGGCCAACAAATCCATCGACTGCAGCGAAGACGCCCATCTCTGCAGTGGCTGTGGTTGCTCAGGGAATTCTGCTCTTTCCGTGTTTAACTGCGGACACAGCGGGGCCCCTGAGCCGCCTGTTTCCAGTCGTGTCCTAAGGTAACGGATGTCTCGTAGCCTCCAAGAGACGGGGGCGGGCACTCCAGCCAGTGAAGGGCAACCCAGATCCTTTCTTCGGCCTAAATAGTTTACAGAATTTACTCTCTCGGTAACGTTCCCTGGTAAGATTTATCTACATTTTGTAGGTTTTAAGTCCACAGCTAAGGAAGGAAGGGCTTCCCTCTGGGCGGCATCTTTCTAGAATATTCATCTTGTTTAGGAAACATAACTTTAGATTAAAACGAAAGGGGGTTCTTCAGCTACGGGATGTCGACGGCAGGTGACGCGGGTGAGTGGACACTTCAGTGTGCGCCGCTCAGGTGAAGCGAGAGGCGGTCTCCGGGGACTCCCCTGGCGGTCCGACAGGGCCGTGACGGGGCGCCGAACAGAGCAACGCGAATGCGTGTACCGTGCGCTTGGCCGGTCTTCGAGAGTCTTCTAGGATCTTTCTGTTTAAGATGATAATGTGTAGCACCGTAGCTCTGCTTGCGAGTTAGCTTTTCGGGCGGATCTGTCCAAATGCCTTCCAAAAATTGTTCTGAGGGCTGACGTGAATGACTTGTATGTGGAGTACATATTAAAAATCAAAAAAATCAAAAAAACTAGATTCATAACTTAGAAGGTTGGTCTTATTCAATAGAAAAATGTAAGTTCCCAAAGGCCGACACATTCAAGCAGTGAATTAGCAGAAGAGGCAGATGCTGGACAGGATGTTTGTTGTGGAAGAATTCTCCCCCGGAGATGCATTCAGGTGCTGTGAATTATGAAATGTATGAGGAAGGAACGCCTGCCAATTGTTCACTTACGCTCACCCGTCCTCCGCTCGTCTCATAAAACTTGCCCAGGTGGCGCGTGGATAAGGATCCTGAGGGATGAAACGCCGAGTTTTCTGCATCTAAGAGGGGAATAGCCCGGATGTCACCAATATATCAGTGACCACAGGGTCCACTGCGAGGCTGTGAGTCACAGCAACGATGGTGCGGTGAAGGTCCCACGTCAACTTTCCCTCTGTCACGGGCAGCTCAGCCTTCTGGGAGTCCTGCGTCTTTGCGTGGAGTCTTCTCTAGATGGCGGTTGACCTGCTCTCATAAAAAGTCTAATTTGTGACAAAGGATACGTACGGATAACTCTTCCTCCCCACCCGTTCCAGGGTGTTGTGGTTCCACAGTTGCTCCCCATGGAGTATAAAGTCAACTTTAGCTATTTGAGGGAACTCTGATGTGAACCGGTCATTTGTTTGTTCTAAGAGTGGGTTCCTAGAGGAGGCCCTTCGACGTTCTCAACAGGTTTCTGCTTTTTAGGCATCTACCCAGTGTCCGGATTCCGTGATGGCTGGCTTGGCTGGGGGTTAGTGGGGTGGAAACAAAGTCAAGGTTAGATAGTGTCGAGGGACCAGATTCGAGTCTTTGACTTCAGCACAGCTTGTTTACGTTTTTAGCACATCACTTGCCGGAGCTGCATCAGCCTCACCAGGAAAACGTGGTTGAAACGACCACCCGTTTCATAGAGTGCGTAAGAGGGCACTGTGGTAACACGTGTGAAAGCAGTTTTGAGCTATCATAATAACATGATAGCTAAAGTGTGCATATTGTAAATGCTTTGTATGTATTAGTCTGTTTAATTGTCCCAACGGCTTGATTATTACCCCTGTTTAGCGGAACAGGATACTAAGGCACAGAATTTGTTGAAAACCAAAAAACCCCCCCCAAAACCCAGACCTGTCTAAGACCACACAGATGTGGGCGTGAACCAGCCTCCCTCCGGAGCGTGTGCGTGTGACCATTCTACCGCGTGGGTTATGTTAAAGCACCAAACAGGCGTACGTGTGCTGAGGCTTTTCAAGGGAGCAGCGTGTCCGGGAACTGCCACCCAGACGTTTCCTGCTCTGAGGTTTTCGCCGGCAGCCACTTGCCCAGCAGCCGCCTGCCCCTGTGTTTTTCTGCCGCGCCTTCGGTATGGTCAAGGGCGTTCGCTGTGTAGCGACACATCCTCTTCCTGGCGAGGAAAGGCTGCAGGGGAATGAACAGGGAAGGAGCACAAAGAGACTGTGCTTGGGCTCCCAGGAGGGACCAAGGTGCTTCCCTTGGACCCGCGGGTCTTTAGAGCTGCTTCTGTTCAGAAGAGAAGTCGGCCCCACGAGCGGTCTGGGAGGGTCTGCGGGTTAGGGTCTGCGGGGGTCTGCGGGGGTCAGCCTCACGGACGCCAGGGCCTGATGGGCCTCTTCGGATGCTCTGCCACCGCTGCCGCGCCCCATGCCTTCCCAGGTCGTCATGCGCTGCCGCAGGAGAGTGGCCGGCGGTGCCGCCGTCTTGCTGTGCCCGCTGTGGTACAGGGGTCCGTGGGCTGTTCAGGGACTTCCCCTAAGGTCACTCATTCCTCCTCTTCCTCTTTTCAGTAGTGTAGCCGAGTCCTTGAATCAGCTAGACAAACAGCCTGGGAAACCCCGTGCCCGATGAAGTGTTCAAAGGCGAATCTAGGTTGGGGGGTTGAGGATAGAAAATTGTTTAAAAGCACCAGTAGCTCGAGTGCTTTGAGCGAACGTGTGGACAGGGAGAGATGCCGGCTTTTCAGGTCGCCTCATGCGGCGACGATGGAAACCAGCGACGCGGGGGTCCCAGCCGTGGCACCGTGAGAGTCCCAGCGGCTGCCACCTGTTCCGCAGAGGTGGCACCCGAGGGCTGAGCCACGCACAGTTCTCATGTGTCCTCGATCCATGTGGCCTCCTTGCTCGTTGGCCTCTTGGAGTTGCTTCCAGTGGGGTCCAGCTTTGTGCTGTCTCTGGGCCACTCTGGAAGAAGAAGAGTTGTCTCAGGCCACACGTAAAACACATGGCAACACATCATCACAAAAAATCGCCGAGTTTTAATTAAATCTACGGTTTTGTGTTGGGCCACGTTCACAGCCACCCTGAGCCACATGCGGCCCGCGGGCCGCAGGTTGGATGCCTCTGCTGTAAGCCCTGGCCTGGAGGTCCCTTGTGCGTGGGGCTCTGCGGTTTTCGAGTCCTTCGGCCAGGACAGGCCGTCACCCCAGAGACAGACTGTGCCGCTTAGAAGCATTTTGCAGGAATCCTCTTTGGATTTATTTTCATTAGCAAAAACAGCTACTAAGGTGGGTCTTCCTTAAAGTGATGTGGTGTGATGTTCAGAAAGCGGGAGGTGCGCGCACGTGTGTGCGGGGTCTGTCCAGAAAGTATCCAGCCATGCAGTGTGCGAAATAGACACATTTATGGAAGAAGATACAAGATACAAGGAACATTGTACATAGGACAAGGACACCCCAGTCCCCTTCAAACTGGGCACCTTGGGACCTCACATAGTTCTCTCAGTTTCCATCAGCTACCCTGTTGTATTTTCCTAAATCTTACCGACGTTCTGAAATCTATTCCCTTTCAAAGGTAATTTTAGTTCTGGGAAAAGCCAGAAGTTGCAAGGCATCAAATCTGGGCACCGGGGGGACCGAGCCACCTGGGTGATTTGATGTTTCACCAAAGAACTCTGCACGAGATGTGATGCCTGAGCAGGTTTGTTGTCGTGATGAAGCTGCCAATCACCAGTTGCCCACAGCTGTGGCTTCTGAATCATCTGAAAAGTCTCCACGGAGGCATGCTCAAGCTTAATGCAAAATCTGATGCAGATTCATTGCTCTACTTGCTCAGTCGTTTTGAATGTGACGGCCACACAGTGCACGTGCTTACTCAACAGTGTCTACCACCCGCACTGACGAGTACAGTGAAGTCACCATTGTTCACACATGCACATTCCAGTCCCCTCTCCTTGGCTGCCAGTTACATGGATGTTGCACAAGCCATTTTCGTTACATTAGCAATGGTTGGACTTTTTCCGGACAGACCTCTTATGCATCTACCCGTCTATAGATAGAGATGTAGCTACGTAGATACTTATATATAGGTATCGTTTTTTCATTCAAGGCCATCGTCAAATCCCAAAAGGAGGCTTAGGCTCCTGCAGGAGGCTTCTCCAGGGTGGGCGTAGGGGAAGAAGCTGGTCCCAGGCTGAGAGCCGCAGACCCTGGGCTCAGTGCTGGGCACAGTTCGGAGGCTGATGAGATGCTGAGGCTGTTTCTACGTCTCTCTCACCCCCTCCCCGGTGACCTGCCCACCCACCGAGCCAGAGGATTTGTGCCGGGCGGTAGCTGCATTGGAGAGAGTCGTGTGCAGGCAACACATCAATACCAGTGACGCTGGTCTGCAGATCTTAAGGCCCCCTTTGAGGGCCTGGGTTTCTCACATGCTAAGGGGAATGGTCTTTATCAGAATTCCCTTCAGCCAGAGCTGACCACAGAGAATAAGAACAGGAATGGCACAATGGGAAAAAAATGACTAACTGATGATTTAAAAGAAATCAGAAACCTGTGTCTTTAGCGGAGGGGTTTTGTCTGTTTTGGGCAGTGGCTCTTCCCTCCTGGGGCCCATGTTCACCCCTGAGGCTCTGCCCCGCGCCCTGGCCTGGGGTTGCTAACGCTTCACAGGCGAAGCAGCGTTTAATTTTTCTACAACGTGCTTATCAGTATCCAGTCCTTTATCCCCCTGGAGGAAATTTATGTGTCCTCGATATTTACTTGTCAAGGGACAGAAACTAAGCTTAGGTCATATTCAGTTTCCTTGAAGCAACGAGGAGAGAGAGGAGGTGAATTCTGCCGCCCGCGTGCTTTCGTGCCTTTGATTCCTAAAACGTCGGATTTTTGACGAGCATTTCCTATTCACAGGGAAATTATTGAGTTCACCGGTCATGGGTTTGCT